GAGTCACTGTGAGTTGAGCAGCCATATAAATTGAAGAGAATAGGACTCCGCAGGCCATATAAATTGTTTAAATAAATAAATAAATAAATAAATAAATGTCCTACTTGTGACATGTGACGTGTCTGTACCTATAGAGATCAGAATCGTGCAGGTAATGGTTTTCCTTGTGACACTATAGAAGTAAAAGTTGGACTTTGAAGAAGCAGGATAGGAAGAGTATTGTCCCTTTTGAACTTCAGTGTTGGAGAAGACTCCTAAGAATACCGTGGACAGCCAAGAAAACAAACAAGTGGATCATTAAAACCCAGAATACTCAATCAAGACACAAAGGACTAGGTTCAAAATTTATTTATTCATTTATTTATCATATTTATAGAGCCGCCCATCTCACACAAGGTGACTCTGGGCAGCGTACAACAATGAAAAAAAATACATAAAAACAACTACATATAAAAACCAGTAAAAACACACAAAACAGGAGGGTTATTACTTTGGACACATTATGCAAAGACTCAGCTCCCTGGAGAAATCCATAATACTGGGAAAGGTGGAAGGAAAGAGAAGAAGAGGATGACCACCAACAAGGTGGATGGACTCAGTTACAGTGGGAATGAGCGCACTGTTGGGAGATCTGAAGGGCCAGGTTGAGGACAGATCATCCTGGAGAAAAGCTAGCTAGGTGGTTGCTGAGTCAACACCAGTTTGATGGCACATAATCAAAAGCGTGCGACCTAACTCAGTTTGTGACTCCAGACTGTTGTTTCTAAACTTCATTCAGCTCAAATGGTGCCTAGGATGCTGGGCCCAGCAATGAGCCTAGAGATGACCAAGAGGCCGTCAGCCAGACCCATCACATTTGTACTGCAGCACTGGGGTTGGCAGATGTTTCTCCCACTGGCTGATGACCTGAAACGGGAAGGGAGAAAATCCAGAACAATCAACAAATGCTTTGCTCTATAAATGATCCACTATAGATGCAAGATCAGGACAGCTCCCCTCTGCAGTAAGTTGGATCAGAGGCAATAGAGGCAGGGCAGGGATCAGCTACAAGGACAGAAAATTTCACACTGGCAGAGTTTTCTGCTCATTCAAGAATGGCTGGAGAGTGTTTATCTCAACCGATTTGGGGGGGGGGGGGGGGG